TATTATAAATTTATATATATGGCTAAAGAAAGAAATAGTCGTTAGCTTTCTTTCTTAACCTATTGAATCAAACAATGAGAGGCTTCGCTGATTTCGCTTAGTAAGGCAGCCTTACCCAAGTTTACTTAGCCTTTGTTCTCTGTTATTGCAACGCCGAGAGCGCCATGGAACACCCAAGTGGCAAAGGCTGCATGCAGCGAAAGTACTATCGGAAACACTTGAGCGGGACAACAGCGTCCTTACTTGTCCTTAATTCAAGGTTCAGGTCAAAGGAGGTTTCCGTTTAAGGTAATAACGTCTATTGCTAGTTCGATTCTCTTTTGAACGAAGCTCATTGCGTGTCAATGGCATGAGTACAAGCTGTGCTTTCGGTCGTCTGCTAATGCCAACCGACTTTTCGACAGAAGTACTATCGTATTGGATATTTGTGCTCGGTTGGCTCAGTATTAATCGCTATGATCTCCTGACGCTGTCATAATAATCCGTCCAGATCCATTTGGGATGGTACCGAAACGGGTCAAATAGGATCGAATATTTAAATTTAGCTAATCAGACATAATTTTAATGTTTTGTTTACAGGCTTCGTCGTTCGTATCAACATTGTTATTATTAAACGGTCCAGCTTATACATTATATTCTACAAAATTCGTACGTCAGAGAAATCGCTTTACGCTTCCATGTATAAGGCGACTGTGTTTAAATACAGTGAATTGACAGACAGCTTGCAGAGAAGACTCTTACAATCCCCTAGCTATGTCAAGACATTCTGACTGAGTGCTTAGAGTTAATTGGGGAGTTTAGGTATCGTACATGATGATTTTTTTTTATCACATTGAGTAAAATATTTTCAATCGTTGTATTATCTTCTAAATTATTGACTAGTTCGAAAACAGACAGGATAAATAGGACTATTTCGTGGAAGGCCATATCGAGCCCAAGAATAAAGCGGACAAACAGGTGTGAGGCAATTCACAATAGAATCGCAGTTTTAGCCTTCGAAAACGGTCAACCTTAGGAAAAAAAAAGAAGTTTGAGATTTTTCTTTGTTTCTGACACATTTTGAATTCCTTAGGATTTGTTGCATCAGTGCGGTCGTCACTATCCTTAAATATATTCACTACGCGTGCGTTCCGCGCAAATTTGGACAAATAACTAAAGAAAATGAACAATATTCTTCAAATATTAAGAATTGGAAGAATATTTATTTGCCTACACAGTTCGTCGGCCTTACCAGGCACTCTCACTGGTGATATAAATCATGGTCAGGAATGAAGATGAAGCATACTTTGATGACCCAATATGGGAAAAACTCTCAAATGCAGCCCAGACAAAAATTCTGCGGTGAATACCTCAAAAAGTTGTGTTGTCAAATATTTACCAAATAGAAAGTACGAGACTATTTTTACAGAGATAACATTATTAGTAATAATTATTAGTAAAAAGCGCACTTTTAGATATTCTTAAATTTACATATTGTACATCCCCACCGTCTATAGGTTGTGTTCGAAGCAGTGAAGAGTGCTCGGAAGCCATTGTACCCGCTATTCAACACGTAAACGATTTGTTCCCTACCAAATAATCCTTATCGCCTTCGAGAGAGACTCGCTAAGAAGGCACCACAGTTTTTAACCAATTTTAATGAAACTAACAGTAGAGAAATTACATTCTCCATCTATAGGTTAAATTATTAGAATAACTATATGCTGAACCTTGAGTTAAAAAATGCGGCACAAACTTGTATGTTGGCTTGTAAAAAAGATGTTGACAAACGATAGTGCATTTATATTGAAACCATATGTAAAAATAATAGTGTTTAGCACGATATTAGTATGCGTGTATATATGAAACTTTACGTAAACGATCCACTTCGTTAGGCAGCCACTCGTACATCGTGTGGGTTATATAAGTTCGGTGCATCAGTGTGACATGCTGTTAAATCTTTGGTGAAATCAAATCGCACACCATACAATTGAAACCTTTGTTTTTATTATTTTTTGCACGACTATTTCAACTGAGCCAAAGATCTTACGTATCTATTGAACATGATTATATACCCACCACTTGATTTCTCTACCTAAGTTACTCGGATAACTTTCAAGTATTTCTTTCTATGCTCACTCATGCTATACTCACTGATTAGGCTGAGCATCGCCCCCATAACCGAAAGTGGCCAAGAAGCCTCCTCGCGAGTCGCCCTAAAGTGGTTCATGATGCCCACATACATCACACCGGCTGAACGGACACCACCTAACAAACGAAACTCTCGGATATTACGTTTAAACTTGAGGTCTGACATGAAATTTTCGTTCAGGTATGTGTTATATTTATAGCACTCTCGGCTTGTGGTTTTTATAATTAGATTGCCATGATCTCATTGGCGGAACGATAGGTAATCAAAAACAAAGATGCGAGTCCTTGGAAGCTTACTAGGACATTTAATACGATATTGTAATTGCTGTCAATTTATGAGATGTAAACTTTTTTCCTTAAAGTTTTCCTTCTCGTAAAAGAGTGGACGGATTGACGGTCCGCGGTATTTAAAGTAACATTTTGAATATCTTTGAACGTGCTATCATCCTCATCGCTACGTTTATGTCTTAGTAGTCCTCAGCAACATATAATACTACGCACTGATTGTCTCGTCCTATATACCTGTATAAAAACATTTATTATTAAACATTTTTTATAAACAACATAAGGTATTAAATCGACATAGTCATTTTTGAGGCGGAATTAGTAAGACGGTCATTTATAATTTTACACGATCTGCTCAAAAGCCGTTCATGGGAGCATCACACGATAAATATATACGTAAGTGGGCCTTTGAACAAACGTGAATTTCGACCCATATAGCATGTAGGCTACATATGGCTAAGGAGATTTAGGACAAACTACGTATCAATTTAAACTGTACTAAAACCTAATCGATAAACAAAGCAGGCCGTAGTTTCATAACACAGCGGGTTCAAGTCAATTTCTGCTACAATGTAAAAAGGGGACGAGAGCTAAAGTAGGTTTATAGTTAGAGAAGATATAAACCTGCAATTAATAAGAGATTGGGCGGAGACTTCTCCATTGAAGCAGGTTTTATTTTGGTTGTAAACCAACAGCCCGTATCGAGACACCGACTTCAAAATCAATACGTTTTACAAATATCAGTCATCGTCTGCTATCCTAATATACAAAATAAAAACAAAAATAAATTTAGCCGGTTTCTATGGAACAATAGCAAATGGTTTTGGTTTACCTGCTGTAAGAGTCATCACAAGCATACACCTAAAAGCCACCCGTATGCCTTGCCAGCTGTCCAGGCCAGTACTTGGTAAGCTGAACAAACCAGGTGTCATGTTTTCAGACTACAAACACTCTGATCATATAAAATCGAACAATACGCTCGTCGTCGTTCACACCTGGTTTTCACTTGTAGTGGCGATAATGGTAAACAGCTTTATACGAGCGATCGAGGACGCCTAGAAAAACGGTAAACTTCACATGTGTACGTTGCTGTTTGACCCTATCACGTTCAGTTAGGAGCGATACGTTTAGATGTATACACTGTGCATATTTGCGGACAAGGCGTAAGTTGTTAGCATTAGGCTGTTTGCCCCTTTGAAGATATTCGATGGCTAAAAGGAAAATGATCGCAGGAGATAAGTGCCGACACACAAATTACAGTCTAGCAATTACGGGACTTCATTTGTTAGTATTTCATGTTCATTGTATTTTACTTTTATACGAAAGGAACGTAGAACGCTCGCAGGAACATGTGAGATTCAAATAAGTAGCTGCTATAGTCAGTATAGTGGACACTTTTTTTGAAGCGTCATCAACAGAGAAAAACGGCCGCTCTAAAATATGCCCCAATGATTCACCGCCTAGCAAACGCGCTTAACACTCGCGCATTGGCAAGTATGATTAGACACGAAAGGCGGCGACAGTCGGCGAACGCTGTCCATGTAAGAAGACCTTTTCAGCCGAAACCAATGGCGTGGAAGGTTGATCTTGCTAAGATATCCTAGCGGAATATTAGCTATACGCTAGCAAGTTTACGACGTTTTTCGACGTGTCGCTACTGCCGATTAAGTGGCCAGGCTAACGATAGCTTCGCTTAAAGAGAGCGTAACGATTACGATTGTTAAGGGCCAGTGACGCTATTGCCAAGCGCTACAGGCAAAAGCTTGGATTGACTTTCTTCAAAATATTGAAGTTAAGTAACGTAAGCCACATTGTAATACATCTTTCCCTCTATACGAAAATCATAGGCAGGCGAATACGTAATGAGGTAACTTGTTTCGCATCGAAAAGCCGTTGTGAAGATGACCGTTTTTATCGCATCAACATATACACATGGGAAGCAACGAAAGCCTGATAAGGATACAAAAAAACCGGATGAGTAATCGTTAGTAGATACATGGAAAGGCTGCAGCCATGTGAAAGATTTCGAAATGTTTGACGCCCTGAAAAACAAAGCTGTTTAAAATTGTTTCGATATTACGTTGTATAATATCGTACAATTTTACTCGGTTTACTACAGGATGGTTTGATCAGCTTTTATTTTAGACGTATTTGTGCTGTCGTTACCGGTTTCTTCGATTAGGCTTATATGATCATACGCAGAGGACTCGTTATATTGCACAGGCCTTTTATACGTGCCCAGCAACGCGATGATCAAGCTTTCTGCGCGACTCTACGCAAACCCATACAGCTTTTATTGACAACGCGTGGACGAATAATTCAGCAAACGTGCTTCTTCTATAAAGCTGTAAATCACTATGTATCGCTTTTTTTCGAGAGGTCTACTCTATGTAATCCTCCAAACCTCTAATCACGCATTTTACGCATTGGTCTAACAAATATTCGCACATTAGCACCAATCGTGATATATTGCAGGCGGTGGCAACCTCTGAATAAAAAAAAACACTAGAACGCGCTTCTGCGTAAGCGATCTATTCGTTTTAGTAAGCAGTCGAATAAAGCGAAGTGCTGAGTTAGTCCAGGAATATAAAAGGGCGCCGCCGAGTTATAGGGAAGTCTGCATGGGATCATAAGGGTACCAGTGAAATGGGCCTTCCCTAGGGAGCTACAAAAACCGATAACTCTCCTATTTCCTAGGTCAGTCGACAAGATAAGGGGTTGACATTGCAGGTAAAGTTCTCTTTGCTGCTTGTTCCCTATGTCTTTCAGCTGTGATGCGCAGAACCAGACAAACAGGTCCGCCGCGAGCGGGAAACTTGCCCTTACCTTTGATTCGTATGGCTATACGGGACGTCGAACTGCACGTCGATCCGGTCGGTTTTTCTTTGCAGAGTTTAGCCGAGATCGCGGCAGTTCTTGAAGTCTACTTGTAAATCATAATGAAATCGAATGAAACAAGATTCATATTGTAACGTATCTGTATTTGTAGCATAGACTAAGCGGGCAACCGACCTACTGAAGCGTACTTATTACGCTCTAAACTGCGGTAGCTATCATTCGTTTGTCTGCGAGAACGACGCAATGTTTTTACTTGTACCTGTTTGTCCTCAAGGTGTTTTCTTTCGATTTTTCCATTTGTTAGATCCTGCCTAACACGCCTGCATTTCAACATACTAGACTCTAAAAAAAGTTTCTTTGAAAACTTAATTGCTGGATATATCTATATTGGATAGCGACAGTACGGATGAAACATCGAGAAGGAGGATTTGGTACTTGGCACCAATGTGACGAACGCAGACAGGACGGCTCCAATGAACATCTACCGATAGGCCCAGCTTCTCAATATAGAAAATAAGTCGGTGTCAGAAGAGCTAGGGATCGGTGACAGTCATCCGACCGTAAGGCCGTACGTGTCGGTTTGTCATTTCTAAGTCACCATTTCTGGTATGCATTTGGTGCATTTTACAGAACAGTTTCGGGCATTCTTTGACGGTGCCGGTCAGAGCGTAGGTATGGACTTGCCAATTCTCTATTGAGTTGCACGTTTCTGTACTATGCAAAGCGTTTAGCGGTCGCTTAAGCTTCAGGCAACATTTGTCGTACTTGTAGACGTAAGTTCCTCTAAGGCCAATTAGCTGCTTGTCGGCTTTTGTAGGTGGGGCATCCCAGAGCCTCAACATATTTGCCATTACGTATCATAGTTCAAAATCTACGTAATAGATATTGTTCATTAACAACATTTCTCTTATCATATTACCAATCTATTACAAACACTGTTTAAAATACTAACAGGGACCAAGTTTTTTCCCTCTTTCAGCCAGCTTCGGACGCCGAGACACACCATATTTACGGAGCAGTGCATCACAATAATTGTTCGTAACACAATCAGTAGTGTATCTAATTATTCATTTGGACACGATAAATATACGCGGTCGACAGGTATCGATTAGCGTCATTAACTTTTCCTTATAACATAACGGGAACTACTTTCGATCCGTCACCATTAGATTAAATGACCCGAGGGACGGCATATGTGTATGTTTAGTTTGTAGATCTTGTACGCACCGCCGAAATGTTGGCCTTGAAGTATGTTTGTACGTCAATAATTAACAGTATCTGTTATTTTTTGTAGAACTTGTTGTGCTCGTGCCTTCAGATTGAAGCAATTTAAATTAAATCAGACTTCAACGTATAAATATAGAAAAAAAAGTTACGGGCCTGGAGCGCTTCAACTACTACACTGAGAGTCATGACTCAAGGTTTTTCTGCCGGCTTTATTTATTTCCATTAGGCATGTCTTCATACATGTGGGTATTGTAAAATAGCTGCTACAGGCAAATCCGGCGGACTTTGGAATCGAGTAAACCTTAAACTGGTTGGGCTAGAGTGATGATTTTTAGATGGGTTAGGAGTAGTCTCGTTCACACTTGTCGCAGTGCTGCGGCAGTTCCTCGATAGCCGCATGCCCAGTGTTATGTTCCCATATGCATTACCTCTCTCCGTGGTTTCTCCAAGTAAATCGATAGTGGGATATGCTTGTCTACCACTTCAATCACACAGACACCGACCAAAAGCATAAGTGGGTCATTTGTTTGCTTAAGCCAGAAAGTAACTGAGGCATGCAGATAAGGTCTAGCGTTCTCATCAAATAGCCAGACCGCACATTTGAGACTTGTATGTCAACGATCCATGAGCTCCTTGAGCTGAATTTACTGTTTCACTTATATGAAGCATCACATAGCAGCCGATCCATTCCTGCAAGTGCTACCATAACGAACCTGCTTTATATTACCACCGCCATTCCCTCGCTCAGTCCCCCTACGGCCAGCAGTAGCGACTGAACCATGGTTCTAAGCGGTTCCTTTTATATTTTCAGCTGGTTTCGAGTCAGTTTATGTGGTAAATATTTTTACTTAGCCTTCACATTTTCAAAGTGACAATTCTGTAACACGTGTGTAACATATGAGACGTGAGCTTTGGCCGACAGAGCCCTTGGACCCCATTTTCGTGAATAGATACTGTAAGATCATAGGGAGAACACAAGGCTTCAATATATATATCCACGATGCAATGGTTTCGAACCCTACTTCTAGACAGTAAAGTCCGACTAGTTTCATGTAGGTTATGTTTATATTGTAGCAAATGTTTTTCATGCTATTCTTGCTCGTTCCGCTAGTGAAAACATTAACGCGCGACCTTTTTGCCGGGTTCTTTTAGCTGCTTTAAAAAATTATTCGAGGCAGTTACACTGGTTAGCATTGTGTAGTTTTTTATCAAAACCGTTTTTGGCATCAGCTCGACAATTGTATAGAAGTTCAAATAAATATACATGCAGTATTAACACAAGAACTTTATGTTTATTCGTCGTGCAACGTACTCGTGAATCGATAACATCATATATTTTCGAAGTGATTACTGGCCAACATAGCTCGTCTTTCAAGCTCTGTTGGAAATTGATCTTACTATTGGTATAGTAACACGAGTGCGGGCAAGAAATAATACGATAATTAGTCAAAGGGTAATAAGCTTCCATTAAACGAACGCAGACACGTTTGGCAGAGGTACGGCAATTGTTATTCACGAAGATACACGCCGTCACACCCGCCGACACACGGACGCAAACCATATTATGAAAAGGCATATGAACACGTCTAGTAACGGGCCTGTAGACGTTCCACGAGCAGTTGCTTTCCGGGTCCTGGTGTTAACGTATCATCATACTGCGTACTGTGCATTCATTAGTACAATTGTCTGTCTCGTTTGTTTATCTTCCCACACGTTAACGACCTACAAAATAATGGCCGTTTATCGGATATGGGCCATTAGTTTGCCTGAAACACCTCGCGATATCTGCAGTTCACGCGAAACTGCTGCTCTAGCCCTTTGAAGATAGCACTGTTAAACTGTTACACGGGACACCACGGCCGTCGAACAAACAGCCTACATGGGGTCTATAATTCGATGTAGGGATTAGATCTATGGGCCTGCCACCTGCAGCAGGCCTTAATTTTATTATTGCCTGAAATGTTTTCACAATAGTGCCGCTGTGCTTCGAGTCGTTCCTATGTTGATTTGATGACTTCAGGCAAATGCTAATTCGTAACGGGAAGGGCCTATTTTAGTTCTGATGGAAACGACAAAATCTGGAAGAAACATAATATCGTTTAGCACTGGGTAGTGCGTATGGTGAAGGTACGAAATGAATAGAATAGAGGTGTTCAAATCGTGTTTGTAACAATGCGAAGGGAAGTACGAGCTGAATGTACAACAACGTAACCATACTAAATGTCCGGAGTAAACTGGTAGTAAAAACAATGGATTAATCACAAATTTCATCGTATGCAAACAACAACCGCTCTGTGTTGAATGCTCAACTAGTCGGTCGGCTGTCCACGTCAAGTAGGCTCCACTACGATGGAAAGGCCTCGCAAGCAAATAAGGCTTGGTTATTTTTGTGTACGCTATCGTTTCTTGAATAAAATCGACCAGCTATGGGTTATGGCCCACAAGTCACATTATATATATACAAGTCACACACACCTAAAACAACAGTGTGTAATTCGGCAACGAAAAATAGCAAGCATAAAAAACGTTGAGATCACTTGCTGAATGCGCTTGTGCCTATAGCTAGGGAGTTTTCTGGACAAGCTTCAATCTCACAAACATAAATTTTAGGTTTACATTTTTAGCCATCACTATGCCGCAGTTTTCTACAATTAAGTACTGTATGATAGACTTTCATAAAATGCCATATCGGAACATTGTCACAGAACAGATGCCGGAGGCGTTCGGTAAAAATTGTGCCTGCAAAGAATCTGTTGACATACATTTTACTATGCCAGTCTCCCCGGAGCGCTTACTAGCTATAATTAATGGAGAACGTGATAAAGCGTAATTAGTAATATATAAAATAACCATATGCCATATTGGGCACGGGGCTTCGGGGATGGCGTCACAGACGATCCTATCTCCTTACCTGACCAAGCGCTTAGCGGCGTATCATTTGATTTATTATTATTATTAATAATGATCATAATTGTAACTTTTATGATCTATTGTCGTTCAAGTATCTGCACAAGCGTCGCGTGACAGCGGTGCGTTACGGGGGACTTTTGATCAAGGCTTCAACCGAACCAAGCACAGAAAAACTTTGCCGCTAGATGTACTCTTTACTTTAGTTCTAAACTGTTTTGGTGTTGCTTACCATCAACATTGCACTGATCAACATGTAGAGCAACATTCCGATTTTCTGCAATAAACCGAACGCTTTTAATCTTACACTGTACTATCGGGCAGGATACGCATTTTTAATCCAGACGCTAGGCTTACACGTAATCCGCCCACTTGTTAATACTACTTTGTTTATCTGATAGATGCAGACGTCATTTGGGCTTGTCGAATCCGACGCGTTTGACCAACTTATTCTCAAGCAAAGTTAGATTTTTATCTGTCAGATACGATGATTAGTTAAAAAAGCGGCATGCAAGATAAATTGATATTCGATTATAAAACAAAGTCTCTCCACACGCACACGTTTGTAAGTTTTTTAAGTTAGCCTATACAAGGCTATGAACGAGACGCGGTCGTTTTCTGAACACGATTGGTTGTGGCATTTTATGACTGTCAACTGCATAATGTTATACTACGTGTATGTAAAGGCTTGATCCTCGTGAGATTTGCTTTACGGTAATCCTTGGCGCAATATGTAGGTTATATATATAGCGTATACTTAATATATAGTTGCGTCTTACCGTTTTCATCAAATGGCAATTTTCAGAACATATATCTCCCTGTAGCGTCTCAGCCATTCAGAACATCCATTCCAATATAACATACAGGAGGAGTTTTTTTTCCGCTAATAACGTTTTTAGCTGCCCTGCTCTAATAGTTCGGTCACCAGGCAAAGGATAATAAATGAATGACATTTACTTTGTCTGGACAGGAGTAAAGTGCGAGGATCTAGCGGCTCTATTAGTTCGGTTTACAACTGAGCCGTAAGGCTCACGTTTCATTTCTATTTGTTTGAGTCAAGTTTGGTGATTTCATTTATATAGTAGTGTTGAACACAGGTACTTTATCATGCTGCTGCATAAAGTGTTCGTGGATCTCGTCAAATAATTCATTGATCTTGAAAGGCCATATTAGCTATTAGTACGTTTAACCATTCTGCAAAATCGCGGACTTAGACTACAAACGTTAGTGCCACAACAAATTGCGCTCTTATTTACACTGCAATTGTTTCTAAATTATTTTTCTACTTTCAATCCTGTCCTTACAATTGCTAAAGACCCAAACCAGTCAAATTTGGCTCACTAGAACAAAATGAAATATCTATTGTGAAACTATGGGTAGAGGTACGAGTGGAACTGCTGTTTGTGTTTGCTTGGAATCATGGCGTTTACCTCACTAGTGACTGAAGCCTGGAAGAGTCCACATTGAGATGTTAATTCTCGCCGACTAACCAGAAGAACCCAACAGCGCAGATGGATGGATAGATAGATTCCTTTGGTACGGAACAGTAAAACGGTACCGCTATTCCAGCAACATTGTTTCGGTCACCGACTAAGCTAGACAGGTACGATGCTTGCCAGAAATCGATGACCAGGTGCCCACTCTGTTAACAGACAGGGTCGCTACGGCTGAGTGAAGCGTCCCAAAAAAGCTGGAAAGCGAAATCGTGCGCTTTACAATCGTGTTTACGACTGATAAGTTAGTGAAAGTGTGTAATGAGTCCGTGAGCTTGCAGGCAAAATCTGTTAAGGCTCTCAGAGCATCCAAAAAGCTGTTCCACTAGAATTTGTTAATTTACTAAATCTGATTAAGGACATAAATTCTGTTCGGTTATTTATGCAATTTTATTTAAAAAATCACAATGGGGCATATTGCATACAGTGTCGTTAGAGATTATAAACAATACATGGCAAGAATATGGGCCTGACGAGTTGAACAGTCACTACAACAAAGCACAGGTTCATTTGTGCCGCAATTACAATTTACTAATTTTTATAAAATTTTACATTTTTTAAAAATTAAAACTTTTTTTATAAATTTTATAAAAAGTACAAGATTTAGAGGAAATTGACTGTTCATCTTTAGGACATTGCTTAGTAGTTGTCAAGGGCCAAATTTGTAAAATGTTGTTCTTAAAACACTCCATCAACACCGTTTGTTAATAGGTTTTTCATCCTATTAGAACTGCTGTTCAGTCCCTGGTGAACAGCAACTTCTTTCTAACCCGTGTGAGCTTTTCCAGTAATTGTTCAATGATATCAAAGGCAAATACGCTTGATTTAGTCTTTCATCTGCGTTCTTCGATAATCAGTGGCCGACGCTCGGCCTGACCTTCTCGAGCAGTATCTACGACTGTTAGTAGTACCATAACTATTAAATTAAATGATAACGATGCAACACAGTTTCGTAGAAATAATAACACATCAACTCGAAATCCGTTTATTAATACGTTTGCGGAAAACTTGATTCAGATCTTAAAAAATCATTATTACAAGTTTGATGATTCATTGCTAGAATAGTGCATTGCAACAGCCTCGGACGACTCTAATCGTTACGATAAATATCATTAGTTCCGTTGGCTTGCATGACGGAGGGGCAAGAGGTTCATTCAGATCCTGTAGTCGTCTTTCGTACCGCTCTAACCTTCCAGTTTTAGGCTAAAAACATCATTGCTTTTAGCTCAGTATGAGACCGAGTCAAACCAAAAGTTGGGAAGGGACACCTTAAATCGACATAGCCAGAAAACGTCTGGTTGAAAATAATGAGATAACTTAGATTATTAAATAACGATCTCACGGCTTTTCACTTCACTGCTTTCTATTTCAGTCCACTGAGCAATACTTCCGACTACGACACGGCCACTGACCTAGTCGCCAATATCACCCCCGAAGGGCCTTAAAGCGCACCAACTCTCCCAGCATATGGTCCGGTGGTTTAGCTAACCCAGATCGTTGCGGTTCTGCTAACTGAAATCTTTAACAATTATGATTGTACACTATTATAAGTTATCAGTATTTTGCGTTGAATAGGCCTTTTCTATAATGGACTGACACCGTCTAATACCATAAACAGCTCTAATACCATTGGTATTTACGGGTATTTTACATGTTACGCAAGATCTATTCGCAGGTGTTTTATTTGGGTTTGGCTTTGAAGTGACTTTGAACTTGGTTGGTTGTTAGCTAATAATACGGCGACCACATTTATCAAACTTAAATGATTTAACTCCTGACATTTCTTTGAAGAGTAGAGCTGCAGAACTCAGTTTTTGATTGATTGTACTTGCAGCTCTAAGACGTGAAGGAAGGACCTCTAAGTGAAGGAATCTCAGAATTTATAGCGCTTGGCAACTGAGTTTACAGCAGACGGCTTTTCATCGTACTTCGCCAGCGTATACATTGCCAGTGTGTTACGTACTGTTTCATAGGACCTTTTGTAATTAATATAGACATGGAAAAGGGATACTGGCATGGCCTTACCGCACACTGTCTATTCTCGCTGTGCATTGCTGGCGATAGAATGCCGTTCGCTATTATATTATAGATAGCGACGTCTACGTTTATAGATAACACTCACTTTAGCGGTCTTCGAAGCCCTGAATATCGTGTGACATGGGCGCTCAACGCACGTGACAAATGTATATCGTACGTCACGTGTGCGGGGCGGTCACGTTTGAGAGTTGTCAGTAAGGAAACCGTATTCCATAAAACTACCCGCGCAGGCCCTGTGTTTCATAGGCTATTGGCTGGCCTTCGCGTATAGTCTCTAATCGCAGATGAGTAGGTGAGATGCGTAGACGGTCACTTACACTAAACTGTTGGTTCAGGGTAAGTGACCGTCAATTGTTGCTTTATTATAAACAACACCGAGATGTTATGCTGTTCACCAAACAATTCTAATAAGGCTAACACAGCAACAATGAATGATTCTTAGGAGCTATACAATTGTATCAGGCAAACTGCTTAAAGAAAATGATAGAGAAAGACATAGACAATACACAAGAAGGCGTACTTACGTAACGAACGTTGTTGTTCCATCTTTTTTTTTTATTCAATAATCTTTTCCTTTTATCTTCTATAGTCTTCAATAATATTGAAGCTAGAGCTATTTAAAATAAAGTATAGCCGCATCACAATTGTTCGAGACGACGAAAAAATTTTGCAACAAGACAGGGTAACTCACAACCTCAGTCATGTTAGGTGCACCGCTGTGCTGAGAGCTTACTGCAAAGTGATGCAGAGAAAAGTACCTACGGGGAGAGCCAGGAGGTCGTACAATGCTCTCAATAATTTCGAGATGAACAGCTGTCCGGACACAGCTGCCGTTTACAAAACAGCTTCGGCAGCCACAAAGGAGCCAGCCGCGACTGCCTAAGCCTAATAGCCTGGCTTCATGAGACCTTTCACTGTCAGCCGTTTCTTTCTGTGTGACCTCCTTTCGTATGTGTAACCGTGCAGGATAGTCTATCGGCGACCTACGCCAGTGGAGACTCAGGGAGCAAGTTACCAGGCAGGTGGTGCAGAGAAACAGGTGACAATGGGGTGCAACGGCGGAATGGCAGCTGCACCCTGCAGGCCATGCCAGCTTGGCTGCGGTGTTTCGCGGACCGTTGCATGCAACCATTGATTCGGCTATCTACGGCATGTAACGATAATGAGGCAGTGATACAAAGAGCTACTTTTTAGTTCCCTATGCGTTTACACTATACCATCATAGTCGTCAGTTAGCTAGAAGGATCGGCGTTCTGAAGCAATTCCCACAACCTACTTAGCAACATCTCACCTTTTTTGTCCACGTCTGTTTCGTCACATTTGGGCCAGCCGCCAAAAGTTCTTTTGATTGGTTATTTTCATAGCAAATATGGGAACTGTGCTTTCTTAGCCGCTACACCTTTCGCGTCTATCGTTTACTATTCTTAGGGTAGTCGCAATAATATTACTCGAAAGATTACTGCTTCTCTCCTCTTCGTCGGGCATGTCAGGAGTTTAGTCGAGTAACCCGCGTTATCTGGACTATTGGGTGAATTCGGCTTAGGTGATCCGTAGACAACTAGTGAACAAAGTAATGGTCGGCTTCGACGGCCGCTACACTGATAAATGTCTCATGCCTTTCACACGATTTGTACAAAGTAGGAGGAACGGGTCCAAGGGGAAGAGCTTGTATACAGGCTGCATTAGACAGTATATAACTGGACAATTGCTCGCGTTACTGCTAGGTCGTCATCGGCACCGTGGGCTGTCGCCGATGTTGCCATCGATTGCAGTGCTATATGGAGCACCTGTCGCCACTGGCTCCTCTAACCACTGCGGTCCCATTCCACATCCCCACGACCCTTTCCAAAACCCCCCGACTTTTTCGGCGTCCATTTCATCCCTTACCTTGAATAGCCTGCTGGCCCTGGCACTTATTTCATCGAAGTAGGACGACCGTGTCAGCTGCTTACACATAAACATTGCTACGCAATCTACCGGAAGGATTCGAGAGCAGACAGATGTCTGCTGCCGCTTGCCACTTCCGTCTAACAGCCGCATTGTATTCCTATTCTCATTGCCACTATGCTTAGTTCTTTTTCTAGACTTTTATTAACCTCTAACTTCCATGGCTATGTTTCTCTGTCTGTACCTTTCCAGTCATTGCATTGTACATCGTTCACTCTCGGCCGCTGCCTAGTTCACTGTTCTGTATCTGCTCAGGCCCGTTTGCCGCCCGAAACGAAATCCACAAACCTCAAATGCCACTACGATCCCGTCCGACGTCGAAGTGAAGTGATTGACTATAAAATGGCCGTCTAGTCAATCGTTTATTATCAATTGCCGAGACCCGTCCGTTAAAAAAGAGAGGACATAAATATAAAGGAAATAAAGAAAAGGCAGAAGGTGGGGGAGCTTGGTAGAAATAACCAGTATAAAAGGTTGAGTAAGTCGTGCTAAGGGCATTTTTCTTCCTACCACTTGCTATGGTTCGGAGGGCGCGGCTCAGCCCTACTGGTATATGAGGTTGCGTGTACAACGCAGTCGACGGGTGGTAGTTCTATTTGTTTTTGCCCCAGAAATCCCACCCGCACCCCTTTTGAATTCTCCAGACTACTTCACACCTCACGGTTTCGCGTCTTTAAACGAGCGGTCGAATGCTTCCGTTGGAGCAGGTCGTTAGTTGAAATGCTATTTGAGTTGACTCCACTTGCCTATCTTCCTCCGAGCGGTGGCCGACGAAACATTAGTCAGTGCATTAAATCGGTCTAGATGGGCGAAACAAGCACACATCAGGCAGTAGGAAGGTGTCGAGTCGCCGTATATTGAGCGAAACGTCCAGTAAAGTAACTGTCAGACATTATGGTCTGCTATCGCCATCAAACCAAAATTAATTTCGGTGCTGTTGGTGTCCACTCAACCTCTTTTCTAACCTATAAGTGGTGGCCTTCTATTGTCCTACCACTCCGGCCGTTCTTGGACACTCCAAAAGGCACATCGTCCTACACTTTGGAACACCCGTGCTCGTCGGCCCGTTTGATGACCACTTGCCATTTTTATCTGTTTTGGTCACCTGGTCCTATCAAACTTGGACAGCCTCGACTACTCACGATACTCCAGACCTTCAAATGCTGCGGCGTTTGTCCCTGACCATTGAGCGCTATTCACTGAACACTTGTAGCGGCAATGAGAACAACAGATATAGCGTCCTTGCTGTGATAGTGTGAGTGTTAGCGTCGGAGGTTGCCGCGGCGGATGGAATTTACATGAGGGATAACAAACCAAGAACAAGCAAAACGATAATGCAGAACGTCCACCACGAGGCATAACTGCCAATCAACAACAACCTCTAAATGCTTTTTTCCTTGACCTATTGCCCCACAATAGCACAGGAGAAGTTCGCTTGACAAATTGATTAAAAAACATCGGTGATACATTGATCCAAAAAAACGTCAGAGACGGGGGGGGGGGGGGGTACAATCTGAAAAGGGTACCAACAGTAATAATAACAGCGGACGAACACTGCATTTTTTAGTTTAACGGAACAATATGTATGCATTATTTTCGACCTGTCTAAAAGTAAAGTCTAAGCATTCTCAAAAGATAAAAGCGATGACTGTATTTACAGGGCATCCCGAAAAATGTTTGAATGAGTATAATTTGAGTTTTCAATCAGTTTTTAAATTATGAAAAACTTTTCATGAAATATGTAAATTTCTTACCATAGATAATGAAAATTACGAGTGCCAGTGGATGCACTGCAAGTAACGGTGCGCTATTAATTCGCAAATTTCCACAAACGTTTAATTTGTTGATGTACTCTTGTTTATCAGTGGCTGTTAAATATTCTAGTGCCGTCGGTTTTTTGCGGTAGACTTCATCTCTAATTATGCCTTTAAAAAAACCGGCCTCAGGTCTGGGGAACGGACTGCGCGTTTTGTCTGAGCAACCCATTTCCTTGATAGGTTCTCATGAAGTTTTCCTTTTATACCACAATGATTGTGTGGAATTTTTTTTTCCTGTTGCAAATAAGATTCACCATTTTCACAACAGCACTCTTAAGTACATGATAAAGTAGATTCTAGTAGGAAATTCAAACAATTTATATCGCTCGCGATAACCTCGAACAGAAACGGTCGAATTAATATTTTGTTGGAAATGCCGCATTCCACTAGCTCTTGTAAATGTACATTGTGCTTCTGGGAAAATGTAGATTTACATTTGGGTAAGATGAAAGGGAGACAGACGAACGTGCAGAGTTTTCATATATTCTCAATTGTAAAGAAAACTTGGTTATGAAATTTCTCGACATTGCCACGATTTGCTAGGTACAGTCGATACTACTCATAGTGCCCCGAATGGGGTGGCACTTAATAATATTGAGTAGCTAACTTTATTAGCAAAGTAAAAAGCCTGATCATACTAAGTGGGCAATTGACGATACGTATGTACATCGACAAACAAGAAAACCCACGTGGCAAATAGGTCGGTATCTATTGGCTATTATTTCTTACGCTCTAAACAGTTTAAGCCCACTTTCCTGGAATGCTGACTTTTGTTCTGCCCCGGAACTTAGCTATTTTTATTCTGTTATATATCTCGTCGATAAAAAAAATAACAGATTTTAACTAGGTCTAGAATATGTCTTGCACAAGGTATGGCAAACCGGCGACGACGTTTCCCTTGACAAAACCCCTCCCGTCAGTGTCATCTGCTATCAAAATCGAGCTTGCACCTGTTTATGTAGCCTATATTTTTCTTTCAATATACTATAGTCTATTATTCCTTTGGCTCTTTTGCAGCTATATAACGCCGCAGAAGCAACCTTTTTGTCTCTTCGCGTAATATCTACGTGGACTCTGACCTGGAGGCTATAGACTTGGGTCCGAGTGATCATTTGGTACGTTTCTAAAGACCGGCTCATCGTTATGGAATTCAAGCGGCATAGGCCAACAAGTTCATAACGTAGTTAGCTTAAAATGGGCCTATTCGCATACAGAGAGTTAACTGTAAAGCACGAAGCATCCCTTAGAAACGACTGCCTCGTTCAATGACCGTGCCATTTTGAATAACGTAAGCGACATGGCTTCAAAATGTGGGCTGAGTATTCGTAATACTAGGCAAATATGAACCTCCTGTGAATTGTTAACCTAACTGTAGATAGGAGCAAGAAGTGCGATATGAGACGTAAGAGAAACATCCCAATTTTTGTACGTATTACTTACACACGACCTACGACAAAACATGGCTGATTTCGAAATTCCAAGCTAGTCCTTGGGGAGCGATAGCGCCTAGTAAATAAGGCATTTCTTTTTTTGTTCCATTTCTAGAAGTACTATCGGCAGATGTTATTAATTTTACAGTCGGATAATAGATAGAAGCTCAAGTACTGCATGACTGTATACGAAATATTGCGTCGTGTCCCGAAGCACTCATTATCTTCGAAAATATATACTATTATTTATTCGTCAGTGTCAACCGTATGTTGCGGTTAGCCGTTAATTGGGGCATTTGTTACGATAGTAGCAGATAGCCCAGCTAAACGGCGAGCTATTCTGCGACGCCTGTCACGATATTCAGTCGTGTCGAAAAACTATCATACTATTACGTAGATACTGCAACTTAGTTGGACAACGACTTTAAGATCTCCGTTATTTGACTTAGTAATATTTTAAGCCAGCTGATTCAAAATAGGGTCTATAAAGTGAGCACTCTCCTTTATGAGCGCATATCCTCATTTCCTCAGTCGAATTAGCATTTAGTACATAATTATAAACGTTTTCAAGTGATATACACGAAAACACTTTGTCTCGTAAATATTTCAGCTATAATGTTTATGTTAGCATTGATAAAAATGCTTCGGCTACCCTATCTATCCCTGAAAGATAGAGCCTGGATTGCAGGAGAGCATTTATTTGAACATTAAGCTTCGAAGAATTTTCAAAGCTCGATTATACGTCAAGTTAAATAAAATAGATCTCTACATTTGCAAAAGGAACCCTTGCGTACTATAGGGCACTTACGTAAGTGTAAGTATTATGCAATATTTGAATAGCATCATACCAATCAGGCACACTTTCACGATTCGTGCATTTTTGTACCATAAAACGTTTGAATTTTCGCTCAGTTCTATCGAATGGAAAAGTACCTGGCCGGGTTGTTGACCAATGCTTCGATTACTCATTGCTCTTCGACAAGGTACTAAAATTATTTTCACGGACAGGGACGATTGCTTCAAGGCAAGCTCTTCAACAGTCAGCAAAAGGTTAGTCTTTCATTGCCAAACCCAGAAATTGCGTCTTATTAATTGTTAATCTGCCTAGCGGTCCAGGGTGTTTTAGCGTCTCGGCGATGCTAGCTTCAGTGTGCGCAGGTCGAACGTGGGACTCTTCTAATGAAACACTGCCTTGCACGACGGCAAGATCTTTCTACTTTGGCTAGTATGGTCGTTAAGGTAATAACAGGTAGCACTGGAAGTTTCGACAACGTTAAGCAGCAAACATGCCCGAAAGTGGACGCGATTATGAATTGAATTTATGAGAATATTATACAAACCAAATCATCCTATGTCCTTACAGCGTTATTGTTAAGTATTAACATTAGTAAGACGGCCTATTATTTAGCAACGTATTGTCACATATAGCCACGCACGATATCATGCAAATATAGCAAAGCGATTGATAAAATATTGAGGATGCATTACGTGACTAATGGTGAGCTATGTGATATGACGGTTACGTCCAGACCATTTACATATGAACCGTCGAGCGAATGGGGAAGCACAGTTGTCGGAGGCTCGTCGCTGGGCCTTCGGGATGTTAGCGGAGTATGGAAGGGATACTAAGACGTACAGGACTCACCATTTCATTAATATGCGACGTTCCTTAGCTGGCCATTTTGCTAATGACTGTTTCTGCTCTTTACGGAAATAAGGGCAAGTTCCCCTGTCCCATTTTTTCGTGGATAATAATAATTATATCACTAGTGGGATATATTTTTTCTGTCGTTATATTATGATCTGCTACAAGGGCGTGTAGCAGACAAGAAATTTCGTTTATGTCTAACATACGTAAGATAAATATTTATATTCTCTAAATCACCTATCAGTATGGTTGTTCAGTCGTACTAGAGCGATCGGATATGAAGCGGAAGTGCATTTGGGCAGGGGAAACTATGACTTTCGAGCAATTTTTTAAAACGGGAATTCAACTTGTGTGCGGTATATGAAACGCTAAACTTTACGCAAACATGGTTGTGCGTGTACCTATTAAAACTTTATTGCTAATGGCTTAATTTTTGTTACTTGGCAATATCTTATCTCCTTATATATGACCTAAAATGGCCCTTTCTATTTTTGAAACCATTGCCGAAATCAGTTTGCTACAGGAACGAACTAGCACCCAGATTACTGCGTCGTACTGCTAGTAAATGGTATTTAAATTAACGCATACTCAAACGAGTTGTTAAAAATGCATCTGAATAGAAAAATGAAACGCATCAAGAAACTCGCTTCTTCCGAATCAGTTTTTTTCTACTTTTCCCTTTTAAAGCGTGTTCGAAACTTTCTTGTCTTTTTTTTGGCGTGCAATGGAAGACGATTAAACAGACGAACAATTTAGATAACAACTTGTTTGACAGTGAGAAACATGCAATCATGGATCTGGTGAATTTTGCGTCTGCCCCCTTCTTCTCTGTTTGTATAATCGTTCGTGCCCGCTGCCCTATGTGACGCTGCTGTTAACTTCTACCGTACTGCCAAACAGTCAACAAATGAATGAGGTAACACCTCAAAGCTCCTTCTCACGCGTATCTCTCGTTCCTGCCGGACGCGTTTTCGGAAATGCGGCACTGACGAAATCTTTCGGACCTCTAGAATGCTCACCCAGAGTTTATGCGCCGCTGCCGCCTGTCCGTTCATCCGTTAGAATCTGAATGCCTGAAGCGTAGAACCCGGACTAACCTCAGCATTTCCTTCGTAAATCGAACAAAGCAACGTGTAATCGCCGTATAACCATAAATCACCGCTGAGACGCATACCGCATCAGACTCGTTGGGTCGGAGCCGCTTCGCGTGTTCCGAAGTAGAAGAACTGCGTTGGGGGTCAGCGGCGAACCCGGTAGCGAGAGGAAAGGGCAGGCCAAGGCACTTCCTCAGTGTCCCAACGTCACCACCGACGTTTGCATCACGGTTATAGCAACGTCCATCGAACGCTTCGCAACATCAGGAAGGTGAAACGAAAGTGAGGAACTAAAAGAATGGCTAGCGATAAGCGATGCCACTCGCTGAAAGTCGGTTGCCTCAGTGAATCGCGCCACGCCAGAAACTTTGTCGTCCTTCTGCTCGTTGCTTGGCTCCTCCACAGGCAAGATTTTCTCTGCGCACAGTGGTCCGCTATCGCTTTGGACTTTGTACATCT